TATTTAACAGACGAAGAGCGCTAGCTCAAAACGTCATCCTTCAAATAAAAATATAAAAATTTGTCGATTGTTCAACCTATTATTTAATTTCAACGTAAAAAAAAACACCAGAAACAATATAGATTCATGGTATAATTTTCTTAATTTAAATCCGAAAAACATAATACTGTTGCGTCAGCGAGGTCACGTGACTAGTATCACGCCACCTGTTTCTAGAAATATCCTGTTCCTTCAAGAATGCCCTAGCATTTACTAGATATGTGTTAGTCTTGTATATATAAGACGTTCACAACGTGACGGGACATTAGAAGTAATGAGTAATTGAACTGCAGTCAGAGAGAATATTGTTAAGCACGTGAGAAGTTCGTTGAGAATTATAGCGTTTGTTACAGAGCGACTGTTGAAATTAAGTGTATCGTAAAGTTGTATTCGGAAAGAATAAAGCAGTTTTATTTAAGAAAGGACTTGTGTCGCTAAAGTTTCGTCGGAACGAAGTTACGGAAAATTAACTAACGACTGGAGGCATAACAATACAATATGAGAAATGGGCAAGTGATTTTGTATACGTTTATAAAATTGACTGTGTATTCCTCATTACTAAATAAAAACAAAAAAAAAGCGAATAACATGCAGACATATTGATTAACCATAACATTAAACTGATTTCTAATTTTATGTCTTACAATATTACATTAATATTCAAAAATACTGTTTTATGATATTGTTGTATCAGTTTTACAATATAAACTGAATAAATGTAAAAAAATCAAACAAACCTAGAGACTTAACTCAGTTTTTGCTACTCAAAAAACCGTTTGTTTGTTTTTTTTGGGGGGGGGTACATCAATTAAAAAAGATTCTGAAATAATGGGTGCGTGCATTTATCACGCATCTTAATACTGATGGGGTTATTTCACTTCATGCATGAACACTCGAAGTTATGAAACTCACTTTCTAGACAGTTAATAATAATATTAAAAATCATCACATATTTGATGTTTAACACGACTTTAATTCTTTCAGGAATTTGTTATTACATTACTTCAAGACTGTGCTGATTGTATGTCATAAATTCAAAAGAAGCTGAAGTGATAATCGCAATTAACTCGGGAAATAATACGATCACGCATTTTGCCGTGCATTTTATATATAACCGAACATTAATATTTCAAAACGTGCAAATTCAAGAAAGTTTAATCTTTCAACAAACTAACAATCAACATGTTTTGCAACTTATTGAAAAATTAACTTCAGAACATCACAAATCCTCAGTTTCAAGCGGTTGACTAAATAAAACAAAGTGTTAAAATATAAATACTTCACAATTCGTTTTAATGGTAAAAAGCTTGCATAACACGCGATTATAAACAGTAACAAATAGCAAGGGGGACTTCTGTTAAAAAGGTCTGAAGTGTTATTGATGTAACGTGTTTTTATTACTTATATTTATAAATAATATACCATTGTCTTATAGATATCAGATAAGCTTCTCGATTATTACATTATCATAGTTAGCAGCTCCCTCTGGCAAACAAACGAATTATAACATTGAAAATAGAGCTTACAACAATAATTGAACATTGCAATTATTTTTCAACTGTGGTATCAATGAATATGTACGATTACAAATACGAAAATTTTAGATGACTGAAATCTAATAATGCAGTACAAAGCACATGCGCAATGAATCACCAACAGGCCTAGCTGGCTTGATAATACAGATTTGTTTGTTTGTTTTTGAATTTCGCGCAAAGCTACACGAGGGCTATCTGCGCTAGCCGTCCCTAATTTAGCAGAGTAAGACTAGAGGGAAGGCAGCTAGTCATCACCACCCACCGCCAACTCTTGGGCTACTCTTTTACCAACGAATAGTGGGATTACATTATAACGCCCCCACGGCTGAAAGGGCGAGCATGTTTGGTGGGACGGGGATTCGAACCTGCGACCCTTAGATTGCGAGTCGAGCGCCTTATCCACCTGGCCATGCCGGGCCAATACAGATTTAGATCCTTCATTGTCAAATGACAACAAAAATATCCAACGTAAACTTTGAAATGAAGAAACAACTAGGCCACATTTCAATGAGACAGTGTATTATTACGGATTATATTTTTGCACACAACAAATTTCAATGTAAATTATATTACAAAC